CTCTCTCTCTCTCTCATGGGCTGATGGATGGGTTGTAATAGGAGTACCAGCACTAAAAAGAGGTCATGGCACTCCTGGTGCGGTGTCATCTTTTTTCGTGGATTCATAGCTTCAAGCTAGAAGGGACCTTACAGATATTATTCAACTCCCTCATTTTAGAGATGAGGAAACTATGACTCAGAGAGAGAGAGAGAGAAAGTGGCTTGCCCATGCTCACACGGCTAGTAAATGGCAGGACTGGAATTTGGATCCAGGGCTGTTGACTTAGATCATGGAAACCTGGAGAGGTTCAACAGAATGAGATATGGTCAAATATTATAATGTCTTCCAAAAAAAAAAAAAAAAGAGAAGAGAACAGATTCTACAAACTATAGGCTAATAAGCTTGCCTTGAATTCCTAGGGAAAATTCTGGAATGGAACATTAAAAAGAGTTGGCATATATCTAGAAAGGGAAGGATTAATTACAAAGAACCAGCATGGCTTCATCAGGAATCATGTCAGACTAACTTTTGTTTATTTGTTTGTTTGTTTTTAATAATGTTACTAAACTAGTTGGTGAGAGGAATGCTTTGAATATAGCTTACCCAAATTTTAGCAAAGCTTTTGATTAAATATCCTATGGGTTCAGAGGTGGTTGGATGTCCAGACTCAAAGAATAGTTCTCAGTGATTCATTGTCAGCAGGAGATCTCCAACGGAATGTTCCAGTGATCCATGCTTGGCATTGTGCTATTTAACACCTTTAATCAATGACTTGGGTAAAGGCATGCTTATCAAATGTGCAGATCACAAAAAGGTAGTACAGATAACTAGCACACCAAATGATAAAGTCAGGATTTTAAAGGATCTTGACAGACTAGAGCATTGCCTGAATATAATAAGAAAATTCAAAAGGGAAAAATAAAAAATAAAAATCAATTCCACAGTTATGCGATGAAGGATGCTTGGGAGAAGGAGGGAGGATATGAGCATTTGTTAAATTCCTGAGCACTTACTATGTGCCAGACACTGTACTCAGGTCCTGGAATCATCATTATGTTCAGGAAGGTCATTTAAATCACTAGGTGAAGCGGACATCTTGTCTAATGTAATTGGCAAAGATTGTCCATCTTTTCCTACTGCTTCAAGTCCTGTCAGCCCAAGGTAATGCATGTTACCCTGAAAGGCTGTGAAATTAAGATGAAGGCACATTCCACTGTAAACTCCTGGCTTTGGGGTTGTCAATTCAGGAAGAGGAGAGCTGGAAACCAGCTTTTGCTCTCGGGCCTGATCATCTATACAGACACCAGCTTGGGTGAATGGCCTTTCATCACCGTCACCATCTGCTAGCTCTGGTCCCTTGAATTCTTCCTCATATCTCAGATTGCACAGGGTTTCAACATCAATATCCAATGTTTCATCAGAACAGTATGTGATTTCCAAAATGTTATCATGAGTTGTGAATGTTATAGTACTTCTAAAGTGCTCTGGGGCTCCTGTCAATGTTCCTGAAGCCTTGGCAATTTCCCCTTTAAATATGCACTGTTCATCTAATAACAAGTATTATCCTATTTGATCACATGATCAAATACACAGTCAGCAGTTCTGAGAAAGATTTGGGAGTTTGGGGGAACTTTGAGCACAATATAAGCCAGCAGTGTGATGAGGCAGTCCAAAAAGCTAGTGAGATCTTGGGCTGCGTTAAGTGGGACACAGCTTCTGGGAATAGGGGGGTGACAGTCCCACTACGGCACCTTCTCCGCATCAGAATTTAGCTGGAGTATTGTATTCGGTTCTGGGCACCATGTGATAAGAAGGACATTGATAATCTGGGGACTGTCCAGAGGAGGGCAGTTAGGATGGGGCCTGGTCCATGGGGACCATGGCCTTGAATATATGGGCCTTAATTTACATACGAAGATCAGTTGAAGGAAATTGGTATATTTAGCCCAGAGCAGGGAATGTTGGTGTGGCCATGATAGCTATCTTTAGGTATTTGAGGGACTGCCGAATGGGATTAGATTTGTTCTCTTTTTTCCCAAAGGACAGAAACAGGAGCAACAGGTAAAAGTTATGAATAGGCAATTTTAAGCTTGAGGTCAGAAAAAAAACACCTGATTATTAATTGGAGCTATTTGAAAATGGAATGTGCTTCCCTGAAAGGTTTACCTCCTTTCGGTAGAAGATGGGCAACCACTTGGCAAATATGTTGTAAGTGGAAATTCTGTCCATGTATGGGTTGGACGAGGTGACTGCTCAGATCACTTCCAGTTCTCAAATTCTATGATTCTGTAACTTTTAGCTTTAGGGCTTTCCCCTTTTTCTGGACAGCTGCTTCCAAAAATGTAGCATCAGTGAATCACCTAGGAAAAGCTGAAGGTCTTCACATCCATCCACAAAAGAAGTCTTTTACCTAGAATGAGAAAATGATCAGCATCTGCTGATTTTTTTTAATCAACTGATTTGATTTACATTAAAATCAAACCTTATAGAAGAAGTGTCAGTCATTAGAGTATTTCACTGGCAATATTACAGGATTTGTGTGCTCAGCTGTGCCCCCTAGTGGTGAAAGGCTTACTCAACTCTACCACAATTAAAGAGGGTAGAGAGGAGGGGGGCAACTGCAAAGGTTCTGACCTTAATTTGAAAGATTATGTTCAGGATCAACTATCAGCAGGGTAGAAATTTTGATGTATTTTCAGAGTTACGGACACAGATTTGTGGAACACTTTGTCGATCTGAATTCCCTGAATATTGTCATACCATGGAAAAGAAAATAGAATCATAAATTTAGAGTTAGAAGGGACCAGACCTTAGAAACTATCAAATCTAACTCCCTCATTTTGCAGATGAGGAAACTGAGGCTATAGGGGCTAAGTGCCTTGTTCAGGGTACTTGAGGGGGCAGTTTGAATCCAGCTGATATGTAGTTCAGTGTTCTATCCACTACATTATGTTGTACTGAATTGGGAATCAGAAAGCCTGGGTTCTAGTCCTTGAATGACCACTGACAACTTTGCAAATATAGGCAAGTCATTGTACCTCTCTTGTCCTCAGTTTCCTCATCTGTAAAATAAATTTATTGAACTAGTTAGTCTTTAAGGCTCCTTCTAGATCTAAGGTTGTGTGAGGGCATACCAAAAGAACAAATTATCTTAATAAACAATCCATTTACATTTCTGTAAATAAACAAAACTGTTATAGCAATTTCTGTTTAATGCCGTATAACTAACTGTAAATTTAAGTATTTTATTCTTCTGCTAGATTGTAGGGTAGTTCATGGTACCACAATGTCTTAGCTAAACTTTGTTTCCACCATCACTTACACAATACCCTGCACACAGTAGGCACTTGGCTTATTGAGTTGCATTTTAAGTAGTTTGAAAAAAATGATAAAATGCATCCATTTTACTGGCCCTCTCTATAACCTCAAGTCCAGTCAATTAATGAAGCAGCTAGACAGAGGAATCCTTAACCTACAGTCCATGTGCTTCACGTAGAGAGACTTCAGGGAGTCTGTGAAATTGGATGAGAAAAAAAAAATTACATCCTTAATTTCACTAAAATTTAACATTTCCTTCAATTATAAATTAAAAAAAAAATATTCTGAGATAGGGTCCATAAGCTTCACCAGACCTGCCAAAGGGGTCTGTCACACACACACACACACACACACACACACACACACACACACACACAC